GACGCAAGAAGTGGGACACATTCCCCTGAAGTATGAACAGGTACAGTTTCAGTGATTTCAGAGGACCTTTTTTGTCCTTCGTTAGGTTTTAATACTTGAATAAGGATTGAAAAGTAGGTAAAATAGTGACTGTGATTAGTAGCAAATGGTAATTTGAGAAGGTGTTAAACTTTACAGAAGTTGTTAACAAAAATCAATGTGTAGCAAGTGGTGAATGATGTTTAGGTCTTGTCTCTAATTGCTGCACAATCATTCTCAATTTTTTTTCCCCTCCAGCTTGAGAGTTTTTAATTCCCTTGTTTCAATTCCCTCTTGCTAAAGGAGGGAAGAAAAAAGGGGACCCTCCTGCCTCAGGGAGGTATGATGACCCAAAGGAAGTCTTCCAAGACCAATTGCTGGAAGAAACAAACTTGTAAGACTTAGTGGAAGTATTATATCCAGGGAGCTGTGCAAAGGTCTCAAATAATGGGTTGAGTCAGCCAAGTAATACCTGTATTGAGCAATGAGCATTTTAAACACTTTCCACTACAAAGGTTCTGCATATTTTGAATAAAGACAATGCATTAGTGTATGAATAGATCAGGAGAAGTAAATAACTGTATAGATTAACTACTCTTTCAATGTTTTGATATCCTATCTTCTACATTTTTTTTTTTAAAGTAGAAGGAAACAACGATGGCTTTGAAACTGACTTTGTGCATGTGTTTGGGGGCTGGCATTGTGACACTTGAAGGCTTCTCATTCAAGCAACTCGGGTGCAGCCCAGGGAAAAGACTATAGATGCTTACTGAGAGTATCTTGTACAAGGAGCAGCAGTGATTAGATTGTGATGCTCAGGAGAGGGAACTTTGGAGCGTGAACTTCGGTATCCAGAAGTCTGTCAAATAGCAAAATATAGCACTTCTGAATTGGATCAGCCTTTCAGCAGTTTTTCAGTTGTGATTTCCCTAAGCTTGAAGTGCTAAATTTTACATCATTAAAATTGATTTTAGAATGGTGGGGGACGGGAGAAAGTGTCGGGCTATCCACTTCCATACTACAGAAGGCTGGTGCTATTTTACTTCCACTCTTTTTTCTTCATTTCTTCTGTGTATGTATCTTCAAATTTGGAAGAAAAATTGGAAATGTTACTCTAACTACAATTAAAACATGTAAGATCTGTTTTATATTGTCTTCATTTATAACTTTAAACTTTCTATAATTTAATTTTATAATGTTTTGCAAAATGATAGTTTTACCAGTATGTGTTAGAATTTAAGCAAGAATACCAAGTTTTGCTTCCTTTCTCTATACTGGAATAGTTCTATTTAACTACATTTAAATCAATTTTAATCACTTCTTCTGTTGTGTACAACTCCAATTTTGTCTCCTTTTTCTAAAATAAAAAGACAATCTCTTCTGTTACCATGTTTTCTAAGCTTTCTTGAGTATAATTCACTTACACTAAGTTAAATCAGAATGTGTTAATTTCATTGAACGTTTAGACATGTCTCTTTTTTTAAGAGTAGTGACTTAGGTTACTACTCTGAAGTTTGAAAGATGCTTGTTCATGCCTCCAGCTGGACCTGAAAGTCACCTTAATTTAAAACCTACAGCCTTGCAATCCACGAGTTTACAAAGAACTCTCTGAACAGAAACAATTCAAAACCAGAGAAAGCTGTTACTTGGGTCTGGAGGAAGAAAACAAATGTTGTCTCCTCTCTTAGTTAAAACTCAGTAACTTAGCACAGCGTCGGTCCCAGCGCTAAATTAACGTTTTCAGTAACTTAAAACATAACGTTTCGGTGTCAGTTTAAGAGGACCGGTC